GTAAAAGTTCAGGGCCTGGACAACTCTGGCTAGCCCAAGATGGCAATTCCAGGCTATTTTCTCAGTCTAGCTGTACCCAGAGAACCAGATATCTGAGAGACAGCCTTTCAGAAAGTGAGCCTGAACTAGGGAGCCAGCTAAACCACACGGGACACCTTGTCAAAGCCCCTGGTATTCTGACCCGACCTCGACTTCGGTGTTTTAAGATTCAGCCCAGCCGTGTCAGGTCACGTGGTAAACAGATCCACAGCCCATGTTCCTGGCCATGGCGTAGACAGGAGTGGGAAGCTCATGGAGGGAGCTGGTTATTTTTCCAGGTGTTTTACATGTAGTGTAAGAGCCAGTGACTCATGGACTGGCCACTAGAGGACTTGTGTTCAGCTTTGTTTTCGAGTGCCTGTGTTGGGAGGGTGATGGGGTTCTGAGACTGGGCCTCTTCATATGATCTCAGCTTTTTGGGGAGTTCTGCTGAGCACTGGAGAGAGAGAGAGAGAGAGAGAGAGACTGGCCTCAGGACCAGGCAGGAACTGTAGCTGGACACCTGGCTATGAGTAGTGCCTTTGCCTGGGCATGCTCTGACTCACCTGGGGTGTTGTCTTGAGTGAACATTCTATGTGTGAAAGCACAAAGGCCTGCAAGCTCTGCCTCAGAGCCCACCTGGGGGATGAGGAACCAGGCATGAGGAGGTCACGTGGTGAGCACGTGGGAGCCAGCTTAAGACTAGGTGCTACACTCACAGCAAGTTCCTGTCCCTGCCTGGGGGTTAAAGAAGCTTCCTGGAGGGAGGTATGTGAGTCCTGAAGGACAGCCTGGGCCAGATGAGAAGGGTGGGAAGGTTTCCTAGTCAGATGTACAGTCTGCATTGAGATCTGGAAGCAAAACAGCAGCATCACATTGGAGGCCTTGATTGGAGGCCTCAAGCATGAGGAGACGTGCAGGAGCCAAAGTTGGCCGGGACTTGGAATTTAGACTTTGTCCTAAGATAGTCTCCTGCGTACTCAGAGAAGTGACTGTCTTGCGTTTAGGGCTTTGTCTTTATTTTCCTCTTTGCTTGGGAGATCATGAGCTCTGTCTTCCTTGTGTTGAGCTTGCAGGGCCTGAGGTTGTGCAGATTTAAGAGCAGGAGCTGGAGGCATCAGCCTCCAAGTGCTGGGGTGGGGGGAGCTCTCCAGCCAGCTCTCACCCCCGGATCAGAGCTGAGCTGTGGCCTTAGGATGAATAGCTCCTTCCTACCCTGTATGACTGACTCACAGCCATCTGGTTTCTCAGATGAACACCTGGATGAATGCCCCAGGTGACTTCTGTTGGCATCCAAGGGTGTGTGTGTATGTGTGCGTGGTGTGTGTGTGTGTGTGTGTGTGTGTTGGAGCTGCCATCCCTATTGTGCCCCAAGCTTTTCTCACACTTGCCTCTCATGAGTCTGAAACTCCTGTGTGGGTACAGTACTGCTTTCTTTTGGAAAGGGAAAGGTGTTTGTTTGTTTACCATAGATCTTTCTGAATGCTTCATAGGCCTCTGGTCACTGGTACTGACATTTGCCTGGTCTTCAGCCTTGGCAGACCTCTGGGTCTGGTCAGAAGTTGGTTGCAACAGAGAGGAGGAAGCCTGGTAGAAAGGGAGAGGGAGGGTTAAAGAAAGAGTGACAGACAGCAGGCTGCAGCGTGGGTGCTGGGCCTCATGGCGGCTGTGGGTTTCCTTTTGTAGTGTCAGATGCCCTACAGATGGTTCCAGAGGGGAGCTGTCTGCAGAGGTTCCTCCTTACACCCTCTTTCCTGCACCTCAGCTGGTAGCAGCCTTGGAGAAAGTGGCTTTCTTCCTCTTCCTCACTGAGAAAGGCCAGACAGGAGCCACCTGAGGGACAGAGGAGTGGGGGCAGGGAAGGTGAAATGGAGGAAGGGGCTATGCTCTCCTGAGTTGCCAAGTTGGGATGTGCATGAGCCCTGAGTGTTGGGACCCCCACCAGCTGTAACCACGTCTGTGCCAGGGATGGGAGTGCAGGAGCTGGAAAGGCCAGGTTCAAGGGGTGGGCCAAGATGGCTAATGCAGGTATCAGACCTCCCATAGCTAGATCTCATACCCTCACTGACCCACCTCTGTGGTGAGATCTCTGCTTCTTGTAATAGTGTGCGTCTTAGCTATGGTAGGGGAGAAAAGCCATTGAGGAGGGAGATCTGTCCAGCAAGTCCTTGGTCTGAGCAGGGTACTGTGGACAGATGGGTGCAAGGGGACCTGAGGTCTTAGAGGAGTCTGGCAAAGCTGGCTTCAAGTCTTGGCTTTGTAACATAATTGCATGCACCATAGGCAAGAAACGTAGCCCCTTCAAGCCTCCTCTAGTTCACCTGCACGGTGGAGGTTAAGATAGCAATGCTTAGTTGTGAGAATTAAAAGAATGCAAAAGCTCTTTGGGTCCTCCTGGTGCGGGCTTAGTATTACTTCTGCTATCAGTGTTTGCTGCCTGGGTGGTCTCTCCTCATTTCCCCCCTTGGCCCTCCCCCCTCCAGGTTCCCCAGCATCCATTCCTCTTTTCCCCTGCCTCATAGGGCTTGTGTGTCCTTGTCCCTGGCACTCTTACTCTCCAGAGAGACCTCTGTGGCAGGAAAGTTCTTGGGTGATTCATCCTCCCCTATACCAGGCCCCTTGATGTGTTTTAGTCAAGTCCCTGTCTCAGCTTTAGAAAACTGCTGTGGTGTTGTTATGTGTGATGACCCTTGTTGGTGAGCAATGGAAAGGAGGCAGAGCAGATGAGCCTAGCCTCTCCTTGTCTGCCTTAGGCTTCTAGTCCCTTCTTTGGGCCAGAGCAGCCAAGTCCTGGAGTCCATTTCATAGGCTTTACATTGTTCCAAACTCTGTACCAGGTCTGAGTGGCCTTTCCTTTGCCAGTATCAGGAATCCGCTGGCGCGTGTCCCTGAGCTGGCTGGCCACGTGGACCTACCCTTGCTCTGGGCCCCAAAGCCCTGCAGTGGCTCACAAATTGACAGGGCTGTGATGGGAGGGAGGCATAAACACAGGTGAGTATCCTGGGGCTCACAGCCTCCTGGAAACATGTGGTTTGCTGGGCCACCTCTGTACTGTCCCCTCTATTGCACGTTCTTCTTCCTCTCTCGCTTCTGTATCTGCAGTGAAAACGTTCACTGGGCTTAGGCAGTGTCCCAGAGAAGTGCCCAGTTCCACCTTGCAGCTTCATGGAGTTGCCCAGGGTGACTCAATCTAGGGATGGGCTTTTGGGTCTTCGCTCTGAATGGGATTGCCAATAACAACAACAAAGGGTTTAAAATCAAGAGAAAAGGCAATTTCTCTGGCCTTCCGATCTTTCTTGTCTCAGTCTACTCCCAGGTCTGTTAGCCTGGATGCTTACTAACCTGCCTCTCTCCCTCCTGGCACCTTTTCACAAATGAAGACAAAGAGGGTGTACTGGTAGGGTCTCTTGGGGTCCAAGAGCTGAGGAAGGAAATGGAGAAGTTAATTTCCTTCTGGATGCCTGGTGAAAGTGAAAGACAAGGAGGGGACCTCCAGTGAGTCAGGCAGGCCTGCAGCAGACAAGCAGGTAGGCGGCAAGTAGGCAGGCAAACCGGCCCAGGAGCCAGGCGCAGGGCTGGAGCTGCGGAAATGTGCTGAGGAGTGATAGCTTGGCAAGTTGAGGGGAGGGGCTAGTACTGGGTGTCGCCTGGACTTTGGACCCGCCCACCCTCCCTGTGCTCGGCTGGTTTCCTGGGAACTGCCTGGGCTGCTGACAAGATCTGGAAAATCCAAGGACTGAGGTCACCTGGACCTGCAGATTCATTCTCCCAGTGAGCAAGCAGGCTGAGGCCCTCTTCCCTCCTCTCCCCTCCCTGGCCAAGTAGCCCAGGACCAGAATCTTGGGGAAGAGGTGAACCATTGGACCACTACCAACTTTCTAGAGAGAAACAAGAACAACACACACACACACATACACACACACACGCACACATGCACACACGCACACACGCACAATCTGAAGAAAGAAAAAAATAAAAATACATGGTAAAATACAGGTCTGGATTTTGCTCTGTAGCAGGATGGACCTTTTTAAAAATCAAGTCTGAGGGAGCTGGGGGTGTGGCTTAGCATGCGTGAGGGCCTGAGTGTAAGCTTCAGCTTTAAAAAGAAGCTCAAGTTAGCAAAGGCAGAAAAACCAGGCACTTTACCCGGACCGAAGTTCTAGCAAATGTACCCCTCCTATTGGAGTTGGGCTATTTTTTGCCCACAGTAGCAAGGGCTCTAGCAGTAGAGGGGCAGGGATTGGGGAGCAGCAGCAGCTACTGACCCTGATGGGCTACTGAGCTAGATCTTGCCTCTAGCCTGCCAGGGCTGCAAAACGGGTTCTGTGCTAGTTCAGAAAAGACTTGGCAGCCAGAGCCCCACCTAGTAGCTCTTCCCAGGGGTGGGGCCTCATCTGCACGCCTGAGCGGGAAGGACTGAGCCTGGTCCTGAGCGCTGGACTCCGTGAGCGCCTGGCAGGACTATCCAAGAGCCATGGCGGTGCTGGGAGTGACCCTTGACCTCCCACTTATTGTGTCTGGGATGTGCTTGGAGTGTGGAAGGAGGCTTTGTCTGGATAAAGAGCCTTCTGGGTGTGGTGGGAGGATGTTACGTGGACAGATGTGTGAGAAGGGCCAGGCTTAGCTGCCCAGTGGTCCATGGCCTGGGCTAGGAGGACAAGGGAGCCCAGTTTTGCCTGTGTCACCCATTTCCCAGCTTGCTCCAGGGACATAGGCTGAATATCAGTTCTGCAGGGCACAAATGACCCAACCAAGCACCACAGCTCTGGAGCCTAACCAGGAGGTGGTGGGACAAGAGGAGAGAGGCAGCATCTCAGGTGAGGCTGCCAGTTCTCCTGCCTTTCTGGCTCTTGTCTCACTAGTGCTGCTCTGTGGCATAAGGTGGGACCTTCTTGGGGGATCTTCGGACCTCCTTCTTGCATTTATACTGGCATACCATGGTCCTGAGGCTGACACTGCCACTGTTTTTCCTTCTGCAGGCTCCCAGACCCTGTGGAACATCATGAACTGGGAAGCATAGCCGAGCCCAAGAGCTTCCAGAAGGAGGAGGAGGAGCCAGCCTTCCTCTCCCAGGACCTAACCCCTGATCCGGTCATCTAGCATCTTCCTCTGCCTCTGCTCCACCCTCACTTGGCTTCTGAACAGGGACCTGGTTTCCTGCAGGCTCTTTCCCCAGGGAATGGGCAGCTGGTGAAGGAAGTCTCAGTGCCCAGGCTCAGTTGGTCACACCATGAACCTCCAGGCCCAGCCCAAGGGTCAGACCAAGCGTAAGCGCTGCCTCTTTGGGGACCAGGAGCCAGCTCCTAAGGAGCAGCTCCCACCCCTGCAGGCCCCACAGCAGTCCCTCAGGGGGAAGGAGGAGCAGTTTCGGGGGCACGAGGCCCCCCCAGGAGCTGCTTCCACCTCTCAGCCTGTGGAGCTGCCACCTCCCAACAACCTGGCTCTGTTGAACTCTGTGGTGTACGGGTCCGACCGAACCACTGCAGCCGTGCTGCCCCAGCAGGTGGGCTCCTCCGTGAAGTGGCCCAACTCCATGATGGCTCCAGGGAGGGGTCCCGAGCACGGAGGAGGCGGGAGTGTCAGTGACAGCGGCTGGCAGCAGCAGCCGGGCCAGCCTCCACCCCACTCCGCCTGGAACCGCCTGTCCCTCTACGGTGGACCCAAAGGGAGCCCTCATCCTGGTGTGGGGGTCTCTACCTACTATAATCACCCAGAGGCACTGAAGGGGAACAAGGCCGGGGGCCCACAGCTGGACCACTATGGAAATGCAATGCGGCCCGTGATGCCGCAGAAGTTGCCTCTGGAGGTGGGGCGGCCCCAGGCACCCTTGAACTCTTTCCACACAGCCAAGAAAACACCAGGCCAGACACTGCCCCTGCAGCCCTTCCAGCTGGCTTTCGGCCACCAAGTGAACCGGCAGGTCTTCCGGCAGGGCCCACCCCCTCCCAACCCCGCCGCGGCCTTCCCGCTGCAGAAGCAGCAGCAGCAGCCGCAGCAGCAGCTGCAGCAGCAGCAGCAGGCAGCCCTGCCCCAGATGCAGCTCTTTGAGAACTTCTACTCCATGCAGCAGCCGCCCTCTCAACAGCCCCAGGACTTTGGCCTGCCACCCAGTGGGCCCCTGGGACCGTCCCACCTGGCTCACCACAGCATGGCCCCCTATGCCTTCCCCCACAACCCGGATATGAACCCAGAACTGCGCAAGGCCCTCCTGCAGGAGTCCGCCCAGCAGCCTGTGCTACCTCAGCCCCAGATCTCCTTCCCCCGCCGCTCCCGCCGCCTCTCAAAGGAGGGGATCCTGCCCCCCACTGCCCTGGACGGGGCTGGCACCCAACCTGGACAGGAGCCCGCGGCCAATCTGTTCCTACATCACTGGTCCCTGCAGCCGCCGCCACCTGGCTCCTTGGGACAGCCCCACCCTGAAGCTCTGGGGTTCCCACTGGAACTAAGGGAACCTCACCTGCTGCCTGATGCGGAGAGACTGGCACCTAACGGTCGGGAACAGGAAGCTCCTGCCATGGGCAAGGAGGAAGGTTTGAGGGCAGGGGGAACAGGGGACTGTGGGCCGGTTGTACGAGGTGGTGTGATCCAGAGCACAAGACGGAGGCGGAGAGCGTCCCAGGAGGCCAATTTGCTGACTCTGGCCCAGAAGGCAGTGGAGCTGGCCTCGCTGCAGAATGCAAAGGTGAGCTCCACACTGGGGGCTTGGCCTAGCAGGGGGCAGGTAGCAAGTGCCCCTAGACTCAGAGTAGGGCTTTTTTATTTTGTCAGTTCATTGAAAGAAATGGGAGAACTTCTTCAGTGCAAAGAACCTCTGCTCAAGGCACTCTACCTGAAGGGAAGTCCAAGTTTATTATACTACAGAGGCAGGCAGGCAGGCAGAAAGAAAGGTGTCACACACCACCCTGTTAGCTTCTTCATGCAGGATTGATTGGGAATTGAGGGAGGTGAGACCATTTCTGGATCAAGTATGCTAAAAGACAAAGAGTGTGGAGATTGCCAGGTGCCAGTAGCTCACTCCTGTAATTCTAGCTACTCAGGTGGCTGAGATTAGAGGACCAGAGTTCCAAGCCAGTCTGGGCAGACAAGTCCAATTAAACTAGCAAAAAGCCAGAAATGGAGTAAGTGGTAAAATGCCAGCCTTGAGCAAAAAAAAAAGCTAAGCAAGCGCTCTAGACCCCAAGTTTAAAACCTAGTACTCACACACACATAAAGAATATAGTGATCATTACACAGTAGTTTTGTTTGTCAAAATGCATTGAAGTGTAAATAGGTTTTAGTCAAGTGTTGATTGCTTACCCCTGTGTTCCTAGCTACTCAGGAGGTTGAGATCTGAGCTAAGGATTGAGGTTCAAAGCCAGCCTGGGCAGGAAAGTTCCTAAGACTCATCTCTCTGGTTAACTACCAAAAAGCTGGAAATGGAACTGTGGCTCAAAGTAGTAGAGTGCTAGCCTTGAGCAAAAAAGCCCAGGGACGCCCAGGCCCTGAATCCAAGCACCACAACTAACCCTCCCCCCCACTCTCCTCCCCACCCAAAAGGAAAAAAGGCTTGTTTTGATTGGGCATGGTGGTGGTTGCATACCTTCTAGAGTTAAAGATTGAGAGGATCAAAATTCTAGGCCAGCTTAAGCAAAAAGTTACCAAGATGGCCATCTTAACAAACAAGTCAGGTATGGTGGGGCAAGTAATTAAAGTTACACTGGAGTTATAAGTAGTAGGATCACAGTCCAAAGCCAGCCCAGGCATAAATACAAGACCTGACTGAAAAATAACTAAACAAGAAAGGAGTTGGGAGTGTGGCTCAAGTGGTAGAACACCTGCTGAACAAGTGTGAAGCCCTGAGTTCATACCCCAGCACCTCAAAAAGAAAGTGTTGTATGTTAATTGTAAAACAATAAAGTTGTTCTAGAAAAATGAACAGAATTTGACCACCGTTGTTATACTTGGAGCTTTTAATGCCAGATCACAAATAATTAATCACACCCAGTAGGAAAGGTGCTATTACCTGTTTTCTAGTTAAAGAAGCTGAGACTCGGGTTGCATTTTCCAAGGCCACAAAGCTGAGGTGGAAACCTCATATCTGACTGCAGTGCTAATGTTTGTCCCTTTCTTCATAGAGGTCTCACTGCTGATGCCTCTAAGGCCAGGCTTGGTATATAGGAGGCTTCACAATTAGCTTAGAATTTCCTTAGGGACCATCTATTTACTGTGGCCATCAGCTTGGGGAGACATAGATGCAGGAACCCTTGCCACAGGTTCCTTGCTTGCTTCTTTATAGATAGTATTTTTTGAATATTTACATGCTATGCTTTGTGCCGTACATTGTGTCTAACACACTTGTGGCATGAGATGGCTATCCAGAACCCCTGCTCTGGGGCAGGATGGCAGGCCTGGTGGAAGAGAAGTTATAGAGAGAGAATGCTTGGAAAATGTGGGTGGAGAGAGGGCTAGATTGTCAAAGACCAGTGGGAGCCATTGTGGTTGTTTGCGTTCCCTGGATTCATGGGTACTGGGGATAGGATGTTCAATCAGGGCTGCTCCTCTGAATCTCACTTTCATCTACTTAATTTCCCTTTTCTTTAGGATGCCAATGGCTCTGAGGAGAAGCGGAAAAGTGTATTGGCCTCCACTACCAAATGTGAGGTGGAGTTTTCTGAGCCTACTTTAGCTGCCAAGCGAGCACGAGATGAGAGCGGGATGGTACCCCTCATCATCCCAGTGTCTGTTCCTGTGCGGACAGTGGACCCAGCCGAGGTGACCCAGCTTGGCAGTATGGATGAAGATGGGAAGGGCCTGGAACAGAGCCTCTCCCAGCACAAGCCATCCGTCATCGTTACTCGGAGGCGGTCCACCCGAATCCCTGGAATGGATGCTTCGGCTCAGGTAGGAGAGACTGTTCTTCTAAACCCCTCCTCTCTAGGGCTGAGAGCCTCTGAGGCCCAGGATGTCATGGGATGAGACCTTTTTGTATTTGAAATTAAGACTGTCCGGGAAGATCTAAGATGTGTGAATCATTCTTGTTTCAGGTCAGCAAATTGTGACTGGCCCCTAAAGTGAGTCAGGGCCCTATATGTAAGGTAGTGGGATGTAGCCATGTTTACTTGCTATGTTAGTACTGAGAGATGGGTACCCTGAAATCTTCCATTTAGATGGAGGTTTTTGTCCATTTCTCCTTTTACTTCTGTCATTATTTGTGTTATATGTTTTCAGGTAATGCTACTCAGTTACATACTCCTTTAGAATTGTATTAGACACTTCATTGCTATGAAATGTTTCATTTTATTTAGCAATAGTTTGTCTTAAAATCAACTGGTATTTGGCTTCCATTTGATTAATATCTGGAAGGTATATTGTTTCTTTTTCTTCTTTTCTGTGTCTTTATATACAGTTTTTCAAGTTTATTAATTTTTAGTCTAACAACTTGTCTTTTTAACCAGAGTACTAATACAATTTACCCTTTTCTTCTGTTTACCTCCTAATAAAACTATACATGGTCCCAGGCATACATATGCATAGCTGTAATGCACTTACTTGGGAGGCAGAAACAGAAAGAGGCTAGCAGGGCAGTATTAGGAAAACCCTATCTAGAAAGCAAAATACAAAAGAGAAAAGGACTGGTAGTATGGCTCAAGAGGTAAAGCATATGAAGCACAAAAGGTTTCAAACTCCTGACTGGGGTGAAAATTGTATATATGGTGAACAACATAATGTTTTGTTATGTGTGTACTTTGTGGAATGACTAGATCATGATAATTAACCCAGTCATTACCTCACATACTTATTTTTTGTGTGTGTATGGTAAAAACACTTAAAATCTGCTGTCTTAACACTTTCAAATATGCAATACGCTGTTATTAATGAGAGTCCGTTGGAGTATATAGTCGATCGACTTGAACTTAACTTCTGTCTGACTGAAGTTATGTTTCCCTTGACAGCCTGTCCCCAGTCCTCACCCCAAGTTCCAGCTATGAGCTCCACTGTTTTAGATGCCACGGATCTACTTATGATGGACTCTTTTATTTACTCTTTGCTTTCTTTGTATCCTGTCCTGTCTCTCCTGCACTGTGCAACTTTCTTCTCTTTTCCCCTTGATTTTGATTGGTCAGCCTTGTCATTGTGTTTTGCCACTTTGGAAATTTGTTAGTTTTTTTTTTCTTTTTGTCTTTTTATTTTTGGTACTGGGGATCGACCCAGGACGTTGCACTTGCTCAGCAAACACTTTGCCACTGAGCTACATCCCAGCTCGAATTTATTATATACTGGGATTACTCCAGCAGGTCTCTTGGATTTCTGTAGAACTAGAAAGAAACCGATGCATGAACTGTTCTCTGACGAATGGTCAGTGGTGAGTACCAGTGTAGATGAGCAGGAGGGAAGCTAACTTGTTATGTACACTGAATGCACCATGATACTGGGGCTGAGAAGACTGCTGGAGATTTAACCACGTGTTCTTGGCTTATTGAAATCTAAGGAAGCACTATGACCTCTTCTTGGATTCTGAGTTTTTACAGGACTCGAACTCTATTTGCCACAAATATAAAATGATTGACAGGCATTTTCGTTTTATAGGTATTTTAACATCAACAAGGCCTTGTAACATGTTTTTTTTTTCATTTGTTATTAATTTTAGATTTGCCCCTAACATATATCCCTTTGGCTGCTTTTACATAGTTTTATCTCGTACCTCTAAGCTTTTCTCTTGGATACGCAATATGCTGTTTGTGAAGAATATCCTATAATATTTATTTCCTTTACTGTGAGTCTACTATGATACATCTTTGTTAGGCTTTGATTTCAGAAGGTGTTTTCATTTTTTCTTTTGACTCTTTAAAGATAACATCCTATTGTATTCAGGCTTCCTTTTTTTTTTTTTTTTTTCTTTTTCTGGTCCTGGAGCTTGAACTCAGGGCCTGAGCACTGTCCTTGAACCTCTCTGTGCTCAAGGCTAGTGCTCTACCAGTTGAGCACAGCACCACTTCCAGCTTTTTCTGTGTATGTGGTACTGAGGAATCAAACCGAGGCTTCATGCATGCCAGGCAAGCACTCTACCACTAAGCCACATTCCCAGCCCTCAGGCTTCCATTTTATTTGCTGTGTTAAACAATTCCAGTTCTTAAAGTAGGCTGAGGCAGGAATATTTCAGGTTCAAGACCAGCCTGGGCTACTTAGTGAAATCCTGTCTCAAAAAATTTTTTTTAATTGATTGATGAATGTTTAAGCCATAACTATCATTTAGATGTAAGGTACCTTTTTTTTTTCTTGTTACTTTCAAGATTTGGGATATCTTTTTTTGTTGTTGGTGGTCATGGGGCTTGAACACTGGGCCTGGGCATTGTCACTCAGCTCTTCAGCTCAAGGCTAGTGCTCTACCACTGGAGCCACAGTGCCACTTCCAGTTTTCTGATGGTTTATTGGAGATAAGAATCTCACAGACTTTCCTGCCTGGGCTGGCTTTGAACTGCAATCCTCAAATCTCAGCCTCCTGAGTAACTAGGATTACAGGCATGAGCCACCGATGCCTGATTTGGGGTTATCTTTTGTCTGATTGTTTTTTGCCTTTGATTTTCAGCAATTTTGTTTCCATAAATGTAGTTATTCTCTTTTAGAGTTTGTAGTTCACCTTAAATATTTCTTCTCCATCTTCTTTCTTCTTCTGGAATTCGTTACATGCTCATTAGACCTTTTCACATATATTACTTATTTTATGACTGTCATGCATTTTCTTGTATTTTCTAATTTTTTTCCTGTCTGATCTTTCACTTCACCAATTTCTCACTAGCTGTATCTAATATGTTGTTAAACCCATTGGTTGAGTCATTTTAGTTCTTTCACTTTTTAATTCTGAGATTTCCATTTGATTCATTTTTAGAGTTTCTAGTTCTTTGATGAAAGTTTCAAATTTGGCTTTTTTATTTCATAAATTAAATCTAGTTTTTCTTATTTTTTGGGGGGGGGGTCCGGTCGTGGGGCCTGAACTCTGGGCCTGGGCGCTGTCCCTCAGCTCTTCAGCTCAAGGTTAGCACTCTACCACTTGAGCCACAATGCCACTTCTGGCTTTTTTCTTTTTGCTTATGTGGTGCTGAGGAATCGAACCCAGAGCCTCATGCATGCAAGGCAAGCGCTCTACTACTGAGCCACCTTCCCAGCCCTAAATCTAGTTTTTCTTATAGTTTATATCTGGTGGTTCCATTAATATGTTTTATTCTATTGCCTCACTGGTTTTTTGTTTTTGTAGGTTGTGGGGCTTGAACTCTGGGCCTTGGTGCTGTCCCTCAGCTCTTCAGCTCAAGGCAAACGCTCTACCACTTGAGCCATAGCAGTGCCACTTCCCATTTTCTGGTGGTTTATTGGAGATAAGAGTCTCACAGACTTACCTGTCCAGGCTGTGAACTGCGATCCTCAGGTCTCAACCTCCTGAGTAGTTAGGATGACAGGTGTGAGCCACTAGCACCCAACTTTTATTTCTTGTTTTTAAATGACGTCTTGCTTTCTTGTCTATGGAGTCACTTTATTGAGAGCCAGTATATTAGTCCATTTTCTGTTATAATAACCTGAAGCTACATACTTAATTTTTTTAATGATTTATTTTGCTCATAATTTTGGAGCCTAAAATTCCCATCTGTTCAGCCTCTGGTGAGGACCCCCTGACCACGTACATCACAGCAAGGCAGATGGCATCAAGGTGGGAGTCTGCAAGAGAGAGCAGTCATGTAGTGAGAAGGGAAGCAAGAAGAGTGGGAGACATGGGGCCAGACTTGATCTTACAGCAATTTATTCTCGTGAGAAGGAACCTACTTCTTGAGAACAGTGTTGATCTCTCTGAGGGCAATGGCCCTCTGACATAATTACCTAGCAGTAGGCCCTAACTCTTAAAGCTTCTGCCACTTAAACACCACCAAACTGGGCTGGGGTGTATGAACTCTCAGGGAACAAACCACATCCAAGCTATAACATCAGAGACTATGAAAAGATTGCTTAATGTCTGAGGAGTGTGGCTTTGATTCTTAAAGACTTGCCCTCTATACTCGTCCCTCTGATTCCTTCTTTCTTCAGACCTTGGTTGGGACTGTGTGCAGGTGGGTCCGGGAACTCTCTGTACTAGCCTCAGTGTACACTAATCCCAGCACTTTTCCCATGGTCCTCCTATTGGAAATCCTGAAAAACTGGTACCTAATTCTAGTATTCTGTGTGTATGTGTGTGTGCGCGCACACGCGCGAGTGCTGGGGCTTAAAATCGGGATGCTATCCCTGAGTTGTTGTTGTTGTTTTACTTAAGGCTAGCACTCTACCAACTTGAGCCACAGCTCCATTTCCAGCTTTTTGGTGATTAATTGGAGATAGGGTCTCAGGAACTTTTCTGGCCTGGGCTGGCTTTGAACCACAATCCTCAGATCTCAGCCTCCTGAGTTGCTAGGATTATAGGTATGAGTCACTGGTACCCAGCTCTAATACTTTATTTTTTCATACAAAAATGTAAGTCTCTTCTCCTTCATTCAGTGTTGTTCAGTTAGCATCTCCCCATTTCAGGCAGGATTTAAAAGCTTTCTTTTTTCTGTTTCAATTAGATATTTTGTATGATCAGAGGCACATAGTTAAAAGCCTTCTTATTATGTCTCCTCATTGTCATGCACCATTTATTTCCCAGATTGGAAACCATGACTTCACAACTAAGTTCTAAAATGACCTGAAATAAAAATGTGTGTTGTATGTATGTGTATCTGTATGCAGAGAGACAGAAAGAGACAGAGAAGAAAGAGACAGAGAGAGACAGAATTCCCTCCAGATGTGATTCTTTATTTTTATTTAAAGACTGGAGCCAAGTGCTGATGGCTCCTGTCTGCAATCTCGGCTACTCAGGAGGCTGAGATCTGAGGATCACAGTTCAGAGCCTGCCCAGGCAGGAACGTCTAGACTCTCCAATTAATCAGCAACAGGTCTGAAGTGGAAGTTGGCTCAGGTTGTAGAGTGCCATCCTTGTGCAAAAAAGCCAAGCATGAACTTAAGGCACTGAATTCAAGGCCCCCCCCTGCCCCACAGTACCAGCTCACCCTCAAAATAAGACTCTAGGTGATATTTTCCTCTTCCAAAGAGGATTTATCTTCACTGTGGTATGTAGCAAAGGGCACACAATCCTGAGTTTTTGTTTTTTTGATAGTGGGGCTTCAACTCTGGGCCTCTGGGCACTGTCTCTCAGCTCTTCAGCTCAAGGCTAGAGCTCTATACTTGAGCCACAGTGCCACTTCTGGTTTCGGGTGGTTTATTGGAGATAATAGTCTCATGGACTTTCCTGTCCAGGCTGGCTTTGAACCACAATCCTCAAATCTCAGCTTCCTGAGTAGCTAGGATTACAGGTGTGAGCCATGGGTGCTTAGCCCTAAGTCTTTTTTTTTTTGAACTCTGGGCCTGGACACTGTCCCTCAGCTCTTCAGCTCAAGGCGAGCGCTCTACCACTTGAGCTACAGCGCCACTTCCGGTTTTCTGGTGGTTTATTGGAGATAGGAGTCTCACTGTCTCTCCTGCCTGGGCTGGCTTTGAACCACAATCCTCAGATCTCAGCCTCCTGAGTAGCTAGGATTACAGGCATGAGCCACCAGTGCCCGGCTCCTAAGTCATTTTAATCAGAGGTTGAGATGGGAGGATTGGAGCTATGAATTATTTTCCGTAAGGACCAGCCTATTTCTGATTCACAGTTGTTCTCAGATACAGCTCTTTGCAGTCCTAATCCAAACCTGGTGTTTACCAGCCTCTCCTTCCTTGGTAAGACCTAAACTCCAGTTCTTATTCTGATAGCTTCTTTGGGTTCCTTAGCCCCTCAGCTTGCAGTTATGGCATCTACCTCTAGGGAAAAGGTAGCTATCTCCAGTGCGGCACTTACCTCCTGAGCTTCTCTCCTCCCACCCCCACCCCCGCCCCCAAAACCCACTACATCCTTGGTTCTTTAATTTGTTGCCAACCTATGTGTGCTCTGATACCTTCAAAACAAGTGTTGTTTGTTGTTGTTGTTGTTTTAATTGAGATCAGGTTTTCTAGTTATTTCCAGTTAGAGAGTTGGCTTGCTCTCTATAACAGAGTGGTGGTGTTTGGGCAGGAGGGCTAAAACTCCCAAGATTATTATGTTAATTAATCCAAGACTATCTGTTTTCTGTGGTTTGGGGGGGAATGTTCAGGAAAGAGCCTGAACAACTAACTACATGGAGGTGTTTAATATTTCAGGTGAGGAAATAGGCCCAGAATAGACAAAAGATAGATTGTATTAGCCTGCTTTTCATTACTATAATGAACCATCTGAGGAAGGCTAACTTATAATGAAAAAAGGCCCATTGGATTCATGGTTCTGAAGGTACAAAGTCCATAGGCCTTATCTGATAATAGCTTTTTGTTGTTGTTGTTGTTGTTGGTCATGGGGCCTGAACTCTGGCCTGGGCGCTGTCCCTCAGCTCTTCAGCTCAAGGCTAGCGCTCTACCACTTGAGCCATGGTGCCACTTCCGGCTTTTTCTGCTTATATGATGCTGAGGAATTGAACCCAGGGCTTCGTGCATGCAAGGCAAGCACTCTACCACTGAGCCACCTTCCCATGTTTTTCCCCTACCCCCCGCCTTTTTTTTTTTTTTTTTACTGCCACAATCCCAAGGTAATTCAGAGAATCATATGGCAAAAATCAGGGAGTACATATGTCTGATCTTTGTTCTGCTTCCTGTAAAGCCATGAAGATTCATCTAATGACCTCATCTAAACCTAGTCATTTTCTAAAGACTCCACCTCTTAACACCGTACTAAGTATCTGCCTTTTGAATGCCCTTTCACGAGTATGTGCTAGGATGTGAATTTACACCTTAGCACTGTCTGCTCAATGGTAGAGCACTGGTCTAGCATCGGTGATGCCACAGTTCCGTTCTCAACACCAAAACCAAAAACTCAAACCTAAGCATGGCGCTCATCTCATGCAGCAGATACTGGCAGTGCTAACCCTGGAATTCGGGTGACATGAATCTGTGCTCAGGGTTGTCACAACACCAGGCATTTGTGGGAGGTTTGTTTTTTATTATTTGTTTGTTTGGTTATTTTTCTTTGTATTGTAGATGTTTCAATCATGAATAAAACAGAATGGTATAGTGAGGAAATGTTTAGTCATCACCCAGTTTTCCCACTGGTCATAGCCGTATGCAGGAGACTCTGACTAAAGCAAACAGGGCTGGAGGTATGCCTCAGACATTATGGCGTCTGATTAGCAGGTGAGAGTCCCTGAGTTCAAACCCTACTACTATCAGAAAAACAAACAAAAACTATAGCCATCTGGGCACCGGTGGCTCATGCCTATAATCCTACTTAGGAGGCTGAGAACTGAGAACGTGGTTCAAAGCCAGCCTGGGCAGGACAGTGTGAGACTCTTATCTTTACCAAACTAGGTAGAGTGCTAGCCTTGAACAAAAAAGAAGCTCAGGGAGAGCACCCAGGACTGGCATGTACGTGTGTGTGCACGTGCGCACACGCAAACACTACATTACACTCAGTTGTATTCCATCTTTATCTTCAGTTCTCCCTGTCCCTAGGTTATTTTGAGGCAAATCTCAATACACACAATCCCTACACACTATCTGAATATATACATATCATACATACATGCATACCATACATACCATCTGAATACAGAAACACATGCATCTGAATACATCCTTTTTTTTTTCTTTGCCAGTGCTGGGGCTTGAATTCAGGGCCTGGGCACTGTCCCTGAGCTTCTTTTGCCCAAGACTAGCCCTCTACTATTTGAGCCATAGTGCCATTTCTAGCTTTTTCTGTTTATGTGGGTACTGAGGAAGCGAACCCCAGGCTTCATGCATGCTAGGCTAGCACTCTACCACTAAGCCACATTCTCAGCTCTACATCATTTTTTTTTTAACCTACTCTCCATACCATTATCACATTTAAGGAATTGTCAGATATATGGGATCGTTTAATTCATTTAACTATGAATACTCTAAGCTTTCTGGATTTACGTTTTATTTCTTGTCTAGCAAGTTGGTGGAGGGGGGCCTTTTGTGCTGCTGCATTGTTTTCTGTCTAGTCGTGTTGTTCCCTTTAAGAGTAGAGAAAGGAGCACTTCAGTTTTATTCTGCGTATAAAAGAGAAAAGAGGGCACAGATGGAGGAAGGCCATGGCTAGGGCTTCCCAGGGAGTCAGGGCCCTCTGGTGGAAGGTGGCATGGGAGTTGGATTGTCAGGGAGGGGGAGAGCCTATTCTCCATTCAGTCAACATGGCCAGCCTTGCTGCTCTGTGTACCCAGAGAGATGGATGGCCTGGGTGCTGCTCACCCCTGCAAGTTCTATCCTCTCCATATATGACTGAAGCAAGGAAAGGTTTCTATTCCCTCACAGCCCTTCCTATAGGCTGTGAGACATACCATGGAGTCTGAATCAGGGGGCCAGCCTCTGATAGCATGAGTGGGGTAGCCTCTGGTAATAGATCAAATCCTGCAAGGGCAGGGATTCTCTTGTTCCATTTTGGTAGTCCTATGCCTAGCTCAGGTCTTGGCACAAAATAGGAGCCCTCATCTAATGCAGAGACTGGAGTTTAAGTAGTGATGGGTTTATTGAGTTGTTACTCAGTGCTAGGGAATGCACAGATTGGTTTCCATGAATTAGATCACATGGTCTTCAAGCTAGTGTATTAGTTTAATTTTTTGAGACAGGACTCCCTATATAACACAGATTGGCCTATGTAACTAAGGTGGCCTCAAACTTGACATCCTCCAGCCTCTGCCTTCCAGGTGCTGCGATTACAGGCCGGGACCACTACAGGTAGACACAGACTTCTTTTTCCCATGTTAAAAATAATGACACATGGGGCTGGGAAGGTGGCTCAGTGGTAGAGTGCTTGCCTTGCATGCCTGAGGCCCTGGGTTCGATTCCCCAGCACCACATAAGCAAAAAGAAAAAAGCCGGAAGTGGCGCTATGGCTCAAGCGGTAGAGTGCTAGCCTTGAGCTGAAGAGCTCAGGGACAGTGCCCAGGCCCAGAGTTCAGGCCCCACAACCAGACCAAAAAAAAATAAAATAAAATAATGACACATACAGGTTGTATAATTTTAAGTGGCATGGGGCTGGGAAGGTGGCTCAGTGGTAGAGCGCTTGTGCCTTGCATGCCAGAGGCCCTGGGTTCGATTCCTCAGCACCACATAAGCAAAAAGAAAAAAGCCGGAAGTGGTGCTGTGGCTCAAGTGGTAGAGCGCTAGCCTTGAGCTGAAGAGCTGAGGGACAGCGCCCAGGCCCAGAGTTCAGGCCCCACGATTGGACCCAAAAAAAATAATAATAATTTTAAGTGGCAAAGAAAAGTGATAGACCCCAATCCAAGCAGTCTAGCAGCACCACTGAACCCTTCACTGCTGAACACTCCACAAAAGGCCATCAGAGCTATGGTGGGGGCCACATAACAGAGCTCAGGATGGTTTTTACGTTTTTACAAGATTTTTTTTTCTTTTAAGAAGAAGAAAAAGAGATGACATGTGCATCCCAGAGAACATGCAATAACACTCTCTGGCCCTTTACAGAGAAAGTGTGTGACTTCTGAGGAGGACTGAGACCTGCCTCCTCCTGCCCAGCTTGCTGGGTGGGCACAGAGGACAGGCTGTTTCAGAGGTGGCACTGGCCGGCCAAGATGTGAGTTTCCCTTGGGCTGCAGGAGGCTGAAGCCATCTTTACTTTTCCTTCTCTAGGCTGAGGACCTGAATGTTAAGTTGGAGGGGGAGCCTTCTGTGCGGAAACCAAAGCAGCGGCCCCGGCCAGAGCCCCTGATCATCCCCACCAAGGCGGGGACCTTCATCGCCCCTCCAGTCTACTCCAACATCACCCCATACCAGAGCCACCTGCGCTCCCCCGTCCGCCTCGCTGACCACCCCTCGGAACGGAGTTTTGAGCTGCCCCCTTACACGCCACCCCCCATCCTTAGCCCAGTGCGGGAAGGCTCCGGCCTCTACTTCAATGCTATCATATCAACCAGCAGCATCCCAGCCCCTCCACCCATCACGCCAAAGAGCGCCCATCGCACCCTGCTCCGGTCTAGTAAGTGACTGAGAATGCAGGGGAAAGGGCAGGGGAGCAGCTTGCTTTATGGGGTTGCTGAGGATTGGACTGGACGCTGTGGGAGACCAGAAGTGGAGTGGGGGGGGTTCTACTGCTCACATTCAGATCCCAGTTCCATTATTTATTACATCCCCCGCGCGCCCTCCCCCCATACAAACCATTTAAGCTCCGTTTCTTCAGTATTAAAATGGACCTTAGTAGTACTTGGTTGGTGATGAAATTGCCAGTATTTAGCTATGTTTTGGATCTGCAATTGCAGTTTCCTATGGTACAACTTGATGGCTACCTACCTCTTAGGGTTGAAGTGAGGATCAGATTCATTAGCAGGTAGGAAGGACCTGACATCGGGCCTGGCAATTCATAATGTTATGGTATTATGTTACTCATAATATCATAATATTATAATATTTATTCAGTAGGTCTTGTCCCCTAGGCCTCTTGGGGAGTATTTTGACCAAGAGCAGATATTTTGGCAATGATTGACCTGGGTGGTATATTGCTGGAAAAATGTTGCCTATTCCAAAAAGGGAAAAAAAACAGGAATAATCCTAGCTATCCCTTAGGGAGAGGATACTGTGGTATAGCACTTGGTTGGTTGCCTTCACCCAGTTCACCTCTGACCTTCACCTCTGACCTAGACCTCACCCATGATTTAGCTCTCTGGCGACCCCTAGTGTCTGTGGGCAGGAATGGTTTGCCCTGTGTCTGGCAGGGCAGCCTGCTTTCCCCCCCTCCCCCGCTTCCCCCCTTCCCCCATGAAAGCTTTTCTCCCTGGCTAGGTTGTGCAGGAAGCCATTGTAGAGAGCATACTGGCAGACAAGAGGAGGTCAGTTTGTTCATGAGTATTTATGGCGTACTTGGGTGTAAAACGCCTTGAACTGGGTCTTGTGAGGACTCCAAGAATGTATGGGACATCATGATCTATTCTAGAGAGAAAGTGCAATGCAGGGTCATTAGGGAGCTGGCAAGAAAGCCTTGGAGACAGAAAAGCAGAGGTTGAACAGTTTGAGACCAGCAGCCAGTGAGTGAAGCTGACACTAAGTTCCAAGCCTGGGAGGGTGGAAAGCATTTGGGAGTGGGTGGGGCTAGGGCTGAACTCTGGAGGGGGAGGGGCAGGAAGAACACGCCAGGCCAAGCAGATGACTGCTGCAAAGATCTGTAGGTGAGTCTGTGCAGGAAGAGGTATGGCCAGGACGTGAGCATGCCATGGGGCTGCTAGGAAGGACAGGCCAAGCCTTGGGCTGGTGGGAGGCATAGACAACGGGAAAATCTGGAACTCCTAGCTATGGGTTTCAGGCTTTATCTCCTGTTGTGGAAGGTCTTTTGTTTGTTTTGGAGCAAGGGAGTGTCTTAATCTTGTGGAGCCTGAAGATGAGTTTGGGAGAAACTGAGGCAGAAATTCCAGAGAGTAAGTGAGAAGTTAGTTATAAAACCATGATCCTGCCGGGCGCTGGTGGCTCACGCCTGTAATCCTAGCTACTCAGGAGGCTGAGATCTGAGGATCACGGTTCAAAGCCAGCCCAGGCAGGAGAGACTGTGAGACTCCTATCTCCAATAAACCACCAGAAAACCGGAAGTGGCGCTGTGCTCAAGTGGTAGAGCACTCGCCTTGAGCTGAAGAGCTGAGGGACAGTGCCCAGGCCCAGAGTTCAAGCCCCACGACCGACCAAAAAAAAAAAAAAAAAAAACCATGATCCTGCTCACCATTTTTCCTAGTGCACCCAAAGTTTCAGCCTCTCTGCTAGCCACCATAGTTTTAGGTTATAGTTGGTTCTGTAGAGTAGAGCTTGTGGCAGTAATAGCTCTGTGCATTATTTCATGCAATCCTTATGTTAACTCTCAAGACAGAGAAAGAGCCCCTTTAACAGATATGAAAAACCAAGGCACCTGAATAGTTAGTAAAGGGCCTGAGTTGGCACATGGTTATCAGTCTGGGCATCAGGACAGGGTGCCTGAGTTCCAAGTGCACTCTGAGTCACCGCTGTGACTGCTGCATGCAGGACTGTCACCCAGGGCTGTGGGTGCTTGGCTGAAGGGAGGAGGGGGCCATTTATCAACATGCTCTTTGTCCCATAGACAGTACTGAAGTTACCCCGCCTGTCCTGTCTGTGATGGGGGAGGCCACCCCTGTGAGCATCGAACCGTAAGTGCAGCTGTACCTTGGGCCCTTGGAGGCTAGGGGGTGGGGGTGGGGGCAGAGGGATTGCATGCAGGTGGCTTCTGAGAACAAGAGGGGGGCTAAATTGTGTGTGTAGAGAGCCAGGCTACTTCTTTGGACTTTTCTGCAAATTGGTCCTGGCCTCTGCTGTCTGTCTTCTTCTGGATTCCATGTGGAAGTTTTCCTGAAACTTCCAGCTCAGCTTGAATTTTTCTCTGAGAAGAGCAGGACTGGGGAGGTGAGGGGGTGGTCCCAGAGATCTCCCTGTCAGCATGGAACAGCTTCTCCCCGCTCCAGCTTCTGGGCCCTTCCTTTCTGGCGGTGCCAGGCTGTCTTCACAGTCTTCCTAAAGCCAGACTCCCTGCCCTCAGAGGTCTTACTCTCTGTCCTTTCCACCCTGCAGACGGATCAACGTGGGCACCCGGTTCCAAGCAGAAATCCCCTTGATGAGGGACAGTGCCCTGGCAGCTGCAGACCCTCACAAGGCTGACTTGGTATGGCAGCCATGGGAGGACCTGGAGAGCAGCCAGGAGAAGCAGAGGCAAGGTGAGGAGAGTCTGGGGGCTGAGCATGTCGGGTGAGACTGGTATGAATCAGGCTTAGCCAGGCGTGGCCCTAAATATGATTGCCTTCTCTTCTCTATGATTCTCATGAAATCCAGTGGAAGACCTTATGATAGCTGCCTGCTCCAGCATTTTCCCTGGTGCTGGCACCAACCAAGAGCTGGCCCTTCACTGTCTGCACGAGTCTGGAGGAAACATCCTGGTAAGACAGCACCATTGGTTCAGGGCTGGCCCCTTGGAAAGGCCGCCATAGATCTGTGTCTGCTACCCAGAAGCTAGGCCTGCTGACATGCTGTGTGGAAGGAGGGGGAGGGGGATGCTTGACACTAAGAAGGGGTTCAGCCCAAGAACTCTAGTTCCATATTCCAGATTGGATGTGCAGAATCCTCTTGTCTGTTCCAGTCCCTAATTTTAAGGTCTCAGGGTCCCACTGTCAGACTGGACTGTCACCGCGGGCCTTCTGTATCCGTGCTACTTGCTTCCAGGACCATGTATCCCCTGCAAGAGCCCTGGTAGCTAGTTCCTGAGCAGCCCTGCCTCCTGTGACTTTGCCATCTTCCTACACTTCCATCCCTCAGCAGTTAAGGGGGGCAGGAATAAGTGGCCCGCCCCACTGAGAAGTCTGAGGAAGCCCTCTGCATTTTATCCAGGCCTAGGATGCTAGTCCTTCACTGAGACCACACTGACCCTGACCTTCCCTTTGCTTTCCCTCCAGGAAACACTGAATAAGCTGCTACTGAAGAAGCCCCTGTGGCCCCACAACCATCCACTGGCAACTTATCACTACACAGGTGGGTGGGACCAAGGTGGCCTGTGGCCTGGAGTCTTGAGTCTCCAGCCTCCATGTCCCTGCTTAGGGCTGAGTCATAGATAGCCCATTGGGGTCAGCTGAGAGCTGACCAAGTCAGGTAGGTCCTGAAAGACTTAGTGCCCTAGAGAGGAAGAGTGAAAAGGGCGGGCAGGTGGGTGTCCCTCTGGGGAAAAGAGCCCAAGTCAAACATACAAGGGACAGGAACCCAGGGAGTACCATCTAAAATGCCCGTGGGTACCTGGGAGCTTAGGTGTCTCCTGGAGTATCATTTTGGAGAATCTACTTTAAAAGGGATATGGAAGCTGGATGCTAATGGTTCATACCTGTAATTCTAGCTACTCAGGAGCCTGGGATCTGAGAATTGCAGTTCAAAGCCAGCCAGGAAAGTATGTGAAACTCTTATCTCCAATTAATCATCAGAAAGCTGAAAGTGGTAGAGTGCCAGCCTTGACTGTAAAAGCTAAGGGACAACACGCAGGCCCTGAATTCAAGCCTCAGTACCAGCACAAAAAAAAAAAAAGGGAGGGGGAGGGACATTGACCAAATCATTTAATCCTAGCAGCCAACGTATTCATCTGTGCAAGTGCCACATTTCCTGTGCACTGCATCATGTGTGTCCCCTGCCCCTTAGTCCTCACCACACCTGGTGGGTTCTGTTGTCAGCTTCCCATTTCTCAAGTACGAGAGTTAGGCTTCAAGTGACTGCGAGTGAGTAGCCAAACTAGGATGTGGAGTCAGCTCAGAGTGCCTGCAGAGGCCATGTTAACACTTCTAAGCAGGTGCAAACCACCACCATCTCTTCCTCCTCCCTCCTGCTTAGCACCCTTCCTACCTCACAGCCTGCCTCTCTCTCTCTCTGCCTCTCAGGCTCTGACCAGTGGAAGATGGCTGAAAGGAAGCTGTTCAACAAGGGCATCGCCATCTACAAGAAGGATTTCTTCTTGGTGCAGAAACTGGTGAGCCTGGGGCACGTGAGGGCTGGGAGCTATCGCCATAACTCCCTCTACAGGGGCCAGGGTGAGGAGAAGGGGGAAATGTAGCTGCTGACCGAGCTTGCTAGGGATGAACTTAGTGGTTGAACATGTGCCGGTTACACCTGGCACTCTGTTTCCATCCCTAGCACCGCAGAAGAAAAGAAAAAATGTAATTCCATTAAATAGACTAAGAGACAGTTTTCTAAACAATGCAAGAAGGGGAAAAGGTCTGACCTTGGTCGTCCTAAGTTCCTTCCCCTACTTTAAGGTTCTGTGGTCATGCTCTAACAGGGTTGAAGAATGTCTAGCCAGCAGGCCAGGCCTTCTAAATCATTTGTGTATGACTGGACAAACACATGACAGACATGTATATCTCTTGTTGGCTCTGGTGGGCTATCCGAAGTGCATCTGCTTGTGCTGATAATTTTGTACACGTGTGTGCAAGTACTGGGGCTTGAATGCAGGACCTCAAGCTCAGGCTTGGCTTTCTTGCTCAAGGCTGGCGCTCTACCACTTGAGCCACACCTCTACTTCCTGACCTTTTGCTGGCTAATTGGAGATAAGAGTCTCATGGGCTTTTCTGCTGGGTCTGGCTTTGAGCAGCTAGATTACGGGTGTGAGCCATGAGCACCAGCATATAGAGATAATTTTGTATGGCCCTCTAATATTACAAATATCCAAGTGGCCTTGGGCAGAAAAAAAGGTTCCCTAATCTTGCCTCATTGTCTCAGTTTAGAGGGAGGCCTTGGTGGCAAGACAAATCAGGTATGAGGGCTGTACACAGGTGAACCTGTTGTTTTTTGTTGTCGTTGTTGTTTTTGCCTTTATTTATTGGGCGCTGTCCCTCAGCTCTTCAGCTCAAGGCAAGTGCTCTACTGCTTGGGCCACAGTGCCACTTCCGGTTTTTTGAGTGATTTATTGGAGATGAGAGTCTCGTGGATTTTCCTGCCCAGTCTGGCTTTGAACCTCGATCCTCAGCTGAGTAGCTAGGATTATTGTTGTTTTTGCTAATCCAGAGACGTGCATCTTCTCCAGCATTATCTCACAGACTCTGGTCTCAGGAGAGTGAGTTGTGTGGGTGGCCAAAGGAAAAGAGCTTCTGAGAATGGGCTGTTTCCTCTTGGGATGTACATTGTATCTGGAATGGTCCTGAGAAAGGGACCAAGTGTTGACAAATTCTGTGAAGGCCCTCTTAGAGCAGTTATTTGTTAGGCCTTAGTAACATTGTTGCCAATATTTCCAGGAAGCACATGTTCATGAAGTTCACTGAGGCATCCCAATGCCTAATGAAGACAGCAGACTAATGGTCAGATTAAGGATCAGGGAGAATTGACTGGATAGCTGTAGTCTAATTAATAAATGTGTGGCTTGGCCATGCCCATGAGACGAGGCATGTCTTCTTTCTTTCACAGGTCAGAGTAGTGCACTGCACCTGGGCTGTCTGAAGTGGACGCCCAGCCCAGTAGTGACTGGGTCCAGGGAGTAGGGGATGAGGGAGGGGAGCACCGGAGAAAACAGCCCTTCTGTAGGAGAGTAGTCCCAAACTCAAACCCAGTGTCCAAATAGATTTATGAAATGGGAGGAGCAGAGTGTCAGGAGTCCTTGGGGATGACTCACCTCATTGGTGCCATGTGGAAAACTTCAAATTAGGAAGTCGGTGACTTAACCTGAGGTTGTACAGCCATTTGTTAGGAAAGTTATACCTTTTGCTTCCTCTCAGGCTTTCTGATTGGTTTCCTTGGGGTTGCTTTTTTCCCATATTTATTATTTTGTCAGTCTTGAACTCAGGGCCTGGTTGCTGTCCCTGAGCTTTTGTGCTCAAGGCTAGCGCTCTACCACTTTGAGCCACAGCGCTACTTCCAGATTATTGTTGTTAATTTGAGATAAAAGTCTCACGGACTTTTGTGCCTAGGCTGGCTTTGAACCTTGGTCCTCAGATCTTAGCTTTCTGAGTAGCTGGGTTTACAGGCCTGAGCCACTAGCATGCAGCTTTCTCTTCCTTTTTAATTGGAAAAGTTTCCAACTCATACAAAATAGAAAGAACAATATGATGAACACTCACTATTGCAAACGTTCGCCCTATTTACTTTTTTACTTTGTCTACATCTAAACACTACCCCGCCCTCAACTATTTTCTCATCTGTTTTAGATAAGCAAGCTGAGTACCCACGGCTCACGCCCATAATCCTAAATCTATCATCCTAAGTACTTGGGAGGATCATGGTTCAAGGCTTCCATTTCAACTGAGAGCTGGTCACAGAAATGCACACTGTTAACATAGCTCCAATGGGAAGCCTAAAAGGCATATTGACCGAAGTGTGGCCTGGCCAGAAGTGAGATACTATCTCAAAAATAACAGTGCAAGCTGGGTGCCGGTGGCTCACTCCTGTAATACTAGCTACTCAGGAGGCTGAGATTGGAGGATCACAGTTCAAAGCCAGCCCAGGCTGGAGAGTCTGAGACTCTTACCTCCAATTTACCACCAGAAAACCAGAAGTGGCGCTCTGTCTTAAGTACTAGAGCATTCGCCTTGAGCTGAATAGCACAGGGACAGAGCCCAGACCCAGAGTTCAAGCCCCTTGATCAACAACTAATAATCAGAGTCATAATGACGGTGCAATAAAAAAGGGCTAGAGATGCAGCTCAGCCATAGGGTGCCTGCGCAGCAAATGTGAGGCACCAAGTTCAAACCCTAGCTCTGCCTAAGAAAATAAAAGTTAGTCATAGCTATCCTGATGCATGACTCAACAGATTTTCAGCATGTATCTCCCAAAGCAAGAATTATTTGCCAATAAAACCACAGTACCATAAATACAAGAGTGCTCGCCCAGCCAGTGCCAGACCCTGGGTCAATCCACAGTACCACAAGAAGCAACACAAAACACTCCCAAGAAATTAAAACTGACATGAACCCCTCCAGTATGTGGTTCACTGTCAAATGTCCCCAGTGACGCCAGTGTTGTCCTTTATGGTTTTATTTACTTACGAATTGATTGATTGAAGTCAGTGTGGAAGCATTGGTTAATTGCATTGATCACAGGTTTGTGGCAGAATAAGGCATAAGAGAAATGCTTGAATTTCTTGGGTTTACTGGATTGGATTTTTTAGCCTAAGGCTAACATATTTTCAGAAACAGGAAAAGCTGGATTCTCTCCAAGTAGGTGAATTAAACCAGCAGCTTCTGACCTCAATTTTGGCTTTAAACCAGATCCAGACCAAGACTGTGGCCCAATGTGTGGAGTTCTACTACACCTATAAGAAGCAGGTGAAGATCGGCCGCAATGGGACTCTCACCTTTGGGGACGTGGATGCAAGTGATGAGAAGTCAGCCCAGGAAGAGGTTGAAGTGGACATTAAGGTGACTCCTTTCCCAGCTTCATCTGCCTCAAGCATGGCTGGGGCTGAGCCCAGAGCTGAGCTGGCAGGCTGAGGCCAAGCTCTCCAGGAGTCTGTGGAGGGCAGGCAGAGGAAAGCAGAGTCCCCTCACCCTGCAATTGATGTCCTAGACCCTGGACCTTTGGGTTCTCCTTGCTAGGCTACAGGGGTCGATGCAGAACATTGGAGAATTTGCTACAGTAGCATCTGCTTTCCTGAGAGCAGACCTCTCACATTTTCCCAGACTCTGGTCATTCTTGCATCACCTTTATGATTTCTGCTCTATCTGCCTCCCACCACATGTCAACATTACTATTCCTGTCATGTCCACACTCTGCATGTGCTATTACTGAACACTTCTCTTTAAATCAACTTTTTTTTTAACTCAAATAAAATGGAAGCTTTATGTGACAATGATAAATAGAAAGCCAGGATTGTTTCCCCCGAATAGAAGGTACTGATAAAAAGTAAATATGTTGAAAACCAAACACTGTTACTCTATTCTAGCTTAGAAACTGTTGTTGCCTGTTAGCACTCTGAGAATGCAGCCTGACCTCTCTTTGTTAAAGAGATTATCAGGTCTAGAGCAGTATAAAAAAACACAGTAACACAAACCCCAGACTTTGTCCTTGACATAACCAGGACTGAAAGAGAACTGAAAAAGGGAGTGTTACTTAACTCCGCATTTGTATATCCTTCTGGCATCATCTCAGGGTTCCAAGCTCTTATGTGGGGATGTGCTGCTTTCATACAAGGAGTGGGCTGGGCCCCATTTTCCAGATGGAAAGGGAGTGGAGATACAGAAAGCGTTACAGACATGGTGAGGAACTGGAAGCTCAAGGCTCCTACCTGGCTCACTAGACCACGGTGCCAAGGCATGTCTTCAGTGCGCATGTATCCAAGAATGCGGGTAGCTTATGGATCCTTGCATACTTCCTCTGCCATTGGCTCAGTTTCAAGTGTTCAAGTTCATCCTAGGGGCTCTCAGGGTCAAAATTCTTTGTGTTCCAAGGTAGACTAGACATAGGAGGGCTAGTCTGTGACAAGAGTTCTAGTACAAGAGGCTGGGCCAGGCCAGGCCAAGTAGTGGCTTATGAGCTCTGGCTGAGTCAGAGTCAGTGCACTACAGCAGTGTGACTGAGTGTGTTCTTGTCCCCATAGACTTCCCAGAAGTTCCCAAGGGTGCCTCCTCCCAGAAGAGAGTCCCCAAGTGAAGAGAGGCTGGAGCTCAAGGGAGAGGTAAAGGAGCCCAAGAGAGAGGGGGAGGAAGAGGCACCAGAAACCCAGGAGAAGGGAGAACAGGAAGAGGGGCGAGAGCGCAGCCGGCGGGCAGCTGCCGTCAAAGCCACGCAGACACTACAGGCCAATGAGGCGGTAAGTGTGACTTCCACCTCTACGCCCTGGACGCAGGGCCAGGAGGGCTGAGATGGGCCTGGGGTATGGGAGGAGGGCAGAGCAGAAACATGGTGAGAAAAACCTCACCATCACAATAACAGGAAGTGAATGAAGTACTTTTTGCTGTCAACTGCTGTACTCTCAGCCCTATGTGGTAGAGGCTACGATTAACCCCATTTGACAGACAAGGAACTTGAGGCCCAAGTAGTAGGCAGCCTGATGCCAGTTGCTATTTATTTTTATACTCTACTGCTTCTATGTCTTAGATTTAGAGGGAAAATAATTACTTTGTATAGACCTCGTAGGAACTGGTGCTGATGACTCAGGCCTAGAATCCCAGCTACTTGAGGGTCAGTTCAGAGCCAGTAGAGACATGTCTCAAGTGGTAAAGCACTAGCAGTGAATGGAAAAGGTCAAATGAGAGCATAAGGCTCTGAATTCAAGCCCCAGTATCTGGTGCAAAACAATAACAAGTTAAAACAAACAAACAAAAACTTATCATCTCCCTCCTACCCCAATACTCCACAAAGTCGTAACCCATTCTACAGATGTCAACTGATGCACCTGGAATCATACCCTGTATGCTTGGGTTCTTAGTACAGTACACTCTGTCCACCACATCACAAATCAGGAGGCTAAACCTCCTGCTGGAGCTGCCTTTATCGGCAAGAGTTCTGTCAGGAAAGCGGAGGGCTGGGAGTTCCTTCATACATTTTGGCCTGAGGATTGCCTAGCAACTGAACACACCTGCTCTCTCCCTTCTGAGCATGGCCACTCCTGTGCCAAGACCTGCACTGTGTGCCCCAACTCTGTCCAGCTCTGCTTTCCCATGAGAATTGGCCTAGGACACTTGCCACTTCTGAAGGCTCCTTCTCTAAGGCCTGCCCCACAAGTCCTCTGCCCTCTGACACCTGCTTTCCTTCTGCTCTTTCTCTTTCTTAGCATTTTCCAGGCTTTGCTCAGAAAGTTAGCCTTCCGTGAGATTAGGAGCTCTTGGAGAGCAGAGGCTCTTGTCTGCCCATCTCTGTGTCCCCAGTATCTGGCACATTATGTGGATCTGAATCCCTTTTATGACATGAAGGCATGCATGGACTAAATGACAGGAAACCTGAATTCTTTAAGTGCGATGCCAAGATTTCAGGTCAGCAGCACCAAGCTGTCTAGTAGTGAACTGAGGGCCGCCACATTGAATTATTGGGCCAGCCACTTTGGGAACAGTAGCACTACAGTTGGTCCAAGACGCACTGGGCTCCTGAAGAGGCACGGCCTGTCACTGGAAGGACGCAGGATGCTAGGTGACCCATTGGCAGGATTGTGTGACCTTGAAAGGCTCCTGTTCTTGAGATTTCACAATTCTGGATCTACCCTTCCCCAAATCACCCGACACTTCTTGCTGATTCTCTTCTCCATTGTTCTCTCCAGGCCAATGACATCCTCATCCTCCGGAGCCACGAGCCCAATGCCCCTGGGTCAGAAGGTGGCCAGGTCCCAGAGAAGCCAAAGGAGGGGACAGGAAAGTCCCGAAGGGCACTACCTTTTTCAGAGAAGAAGAAGAAACCAGAGACATTTAATAAGACCCAAAATCAGGAGAACACTTTCCCTTGTAAAAAATGTGGCAGGTAAGATGGCTAGTCCCTGAGGGGCGTGGGACAGAGGCTGGGCAGCGGGAGCTGCTAGTATTGAGATGGCATCAGATTGGCACCATGGGGTCCCAGAGCAGCGGTGTCATCAGGTGGGCAGCATGTGGAAGAGCGCCCATAGGGGTGGGCAGAAGCCAGGTGCACACATCCCTACCCTGGGTGTCCGGGGCCAACCAGCCCTCACCTGATTCCCTGCCCCACTGCAGGGTGTTCTTCAAGGTGAAGAGCCGCAGTGCACACATGAAGAGCCACGCAGAGCAGGAGAAGAAGGCCGCGGCGCTGCGGCAGAAGGAGAAGGAGGCCGCGGCAGCTGCAGCCTCGCACCAGCAGGCGCTGCGGGAGGAGAGCAGTGCAGGCGAGAAGGGCTGAGAACAGCTGGCCCCGCTCACTGGACTCCCCAGCCCTCCGCACCTGGGAACAGAGGGAGCCAGGAGAGGGCCCCATGGACTTTGCAACAATGAAATAGATGGCTTTTATTGATAAAGGCCCCAGGAGCAGTGTTAAAGGGCTGCAGGATCCACGGTCTCTTGGCATCTGGTCTGTTGGAAGTTGTCCTGCTTTCCTGGAAGCTTGAGAATCCTGGTCCCCTTGGAGTGTGGGGGGCTCTGCAGCTGCCTCTCACTCTGATTTCTGCTGCCTTTGCCGCCGCGCAGTCTCTGCCCTCCTCTTTACCTCTCTTTACCCTACTCCCTCTGTGTCCAGGAAGCCACCTTGGCAAGCCAAGCACAAGCCCAGCCCCCTTGCAGCATTATTTCTCCCTCCCCACGGGACTCAGAAGGCTGCACCAGCCCTGTCTCAAACCCTAGAACATGGACTCCATTAGAGGGAGTGTGGTGGCTTAACACTTGCTGATGTCCCTGCCCAGCAGCCACCAGGCCTGAGCTGTGCCAGTGACCTGTTCAGGCTCCTTCCTCCCTAGGAGTGATGCCCAGGGCAGATCCCGGCCCTCTGCTGCTTACAAGCAGTCCTGCTGGGCTCTGAAGTTTTCTCAAGTATTCATGTCTCTGCTCCCACCTGCTGCAGGGAAAGGGAATGTCAAGAGGCTGGAAGCTGCAGGGCTAGGTCTGAGAGCTCTTGAAAGCCTGGCTCTTGCTTCTCACCATTTTGCCAAATACCTTGGGGCCCTGGAGGCTGCTAAAAGGGAGCTTAGCCTCAAACAGGTCCTGGAGAGGCTCAGCCTGCTCCTCCTTGGTGCCAGCTCCCTGGCTTGCCCCTGACCTGCCCTCAGCAGCTGCCACCTAACGCCACCACACTCCTCAGTGTTAATGTTCACAGCCAACCTCCCCTACCCCAGTCCTGCATGCTGGAGAGTTTCTGGATCCTTCCCTGGGAAGGGGAAGTCTCCCAACTAGATTGGACAGGAGCCTTCATTCCTTGACTCGTGTCACTTTGGAGCTATTTATTTATTCTTAGTATTTAATTTTTAACATCCTCTCAGGGACCAGTGGCCTCTTGCTTTCTGAGGCCCAAGTGCATTTATCCCCAAATAAGGCACCTTTTCGGCATCCCCTTTCCATCCCCTCCCCAATTCCCAAGGCGCTAGGGTCCCTTACCTTGTTGCTCTGGAAGCTTTTGCCAATAGGACTAATAGTAGCATTGAAGGAGGCTGGAAAGATGGAGGATGTCACCAGAGCCACCCAGAGACTAGCACAAGTAGGTGAGTTCAAAGGCAGTTCGCGTGGCTGCCTCTTCTGTACTTTGAAATTGCTTGAGGGTGTTGGCAGGGAGTCAGAATTCTAGTTTTATTTATCAGGCCTGGATTCTCCCTTGAAGAAGCCATATTTGGTGTGGAATCACTGAAATAAAAGGAGCCAGAGGCTCCTTTACTTGCCAATCCCGGGAAGGGGGGTGGGGTGGGGCGCGGCCACAGTGATTAGTCATTTTTTTCTGATCTCATCAGTCAACTTTAGTTGTGAAAAGAAGTTGAGGTGTGTGTGTAGGAGAGGTTAACATGTCAGGAAGACTCCTGAGGAGGGAGATATACTAAATGCATTGTGTTGGTAACTGGGAATGGAGAGACAGCTTTCTTTTTAAAATATGCACGTCAGGTCATTTTCAGTTTCATGTATGCATTCATGTAATGCATTAATGTAATGCATTGATACAGGACCCCAGCTAGGGAGTGACAAAATTCTCCCAACTTCCTGAACTGTTGCCTCCGTCTTCAGTTTTCTTGTTAAGTTCCTTCCATAAGCTTCTCTAAACTCAGAGCCCCAACACTGCAAAAATCTGATATACCATCTAGAAGGAGGGCATCAAATTTATGTTCTCTTCTAAATCACTTGTATAATGAGTGCCTTCACAGCTTAGCCCCAAAGTGCTACTTATGTTTCCCAAGGTTTGTGGGGTTTTTTTGTTTTTGTTTTTCCTATTCAGACCATATTTGGCTTTAGGCCCCTTTACGGATGTAACAAAAACCTCAAGCAAAAGAAAACAACCCGGTCCCGGGGAAAGGCCAAGAACTGGAAATTTTTTTTTTTAATAGGGCAGTAATTCTCTAATAAACACAGAGTCAGAGCAGGTAAATGGAGTCAGGAAAATTCAGATGGTACCTTTTGCTATTAATATAACCCAGACACCAGATTTTCAGGAGTGTCCTTGCTCCAGGATGCATTTATAGGAGAATGCACTGTGAAAAGTGAAATATTCAGAGAGCAGATGCACTTTTGGCAAGTAACTTGCCAATAAAGTATTTACACCCGTGGAAGCTGGCATAGGTTTATCTTTAATGGTGCTTTCCCCCTGTGAACACATTAGGCTTGTCTTTTGTCTTTTTCCTTTTCAGAGCTCTCAGCTTTAAGAAGTGATAAACACCTCCAGCTTTACAATGTCCTTTCCACACTGTCTCATTATGGCCACCTCCATCTGCACTCAGCTAAGGGTGTGAAAACTGACCTAGTGCCTATGTTTAGACCATTTCTGAGGTCTTTTACCCATCCAAGGAGACAGTGCCATCCTTGCTGTCCTCCATGCCTTCAGCAGTCCCCCCTCACAGCTAAGGTACCCATCTGCCCCTTCTGTCACCCGGCCTCTAGCCCTTGGCCAAAGGTCTTGTGCTGCTTATGTCTAAAGGGATCGCCTATATTTAACTGCCTCAGTGACCTAACCTCTTTCTTCTCATGTGCCAGATGTTAAGATGAAGGAGGAATACAACACATACTCAAGACTCAGCTATTCAAATGTTTTCACTGGGACTTTTTTTTTTCTGGGATATTATTTATTACTAGACTGGCAAGCCTAACTCCTTAGGTTTACAAGAAGTTTGCATATTTTTTTATAAAACAATTGTGCCCACCCCACATTTGGCTGTGTTAATATTTGCCTCTAACAATTAGCAGCTGTTTTTACCTTTTCCTCATTTGTCTCTCAGTTGAAGGCCTTGCTGGGACAGAGCACAGGAACAGCCTTGACAGTCTGTAATTATTGTACAAATATTTTAATAGCATATAAATAAGTATATTCCTCTTATTTTGAAACAAATGATCAGACACTGCCTTTTGTGTGTTTGCTGCCTGTGGCACCCCCCCCTTTTGTTTAAAAAAAAGACTGTTACATATTAAAAGTGTACATATATAAATATTACCTCTTTTGTTGTACAGTTGTGATAGACCAGACTGAAGATTTTATTTTTTGTGTGCTTTTTATAAAAAAAATTAATACACTAAAGAGAATCTTGCTGATGTGATTGTAATGTACCTATGTAACTTATTTACTTTTGAATGTTCTTCTGTATCTTCAAACCTTTTATTAAATAAGGTTTCAGAAAAACTCAAGAGTTGAAGGCTATTTTCTTTTAGCAGGATTTTAACCATCTGGGATTGATGTAAATAGGCCTTGTTTCGGTTGAAGGGAGATTACTCGACATTTTTTAAGCAATAAGGGTTCTGTTTTACTAGCCCAAGTTGGTAAGGCCAAGAGGGGAAATAACAGTTTGCTTTACAAAAATGAGTGCATAGACAGATCTTTCTATAAAATTTTAGAGAACTTTGAAGTCAACGCCTTGTACACAAACACAGATGCTTTTTCGTTTGGATGAAATATGGTCAAGAAGTCAGGAAAGTCTGAGTACTGAGGAGTTTGTTTTTTTGTTTTTTGTTTTTTTTTTGGTTGGTCATGGTGCTTGAACTCTGAGCCTGGGTGCTGTCCTTCAGCTCTTCAGCTCAAGGCCAGAGCTCTACCACTTGAGTCACAGTGCCAGTTTTCTGGTGGTTTATTGGACATAAGAGTCTCACGGACTTTCCTGCCCAGGCTGGCTTTGAACCATGATCCTCAGATCTCAGCCTCCTGAATAGCTAGGATTACAGGCATGAGCCACCTGTGCCCAGCTGAGGAGTATTTTTATATCCAGTATAGATTGCATATAGAATGAATGAGGAACTGTTTCCAGATTGATGATGCTCCCAGAGGAGGCCTCTGCCTGGCCCTTGGGTACCAACTTCCTAGTGCTGCAAATAATAATCATTTTAGGACATAATGAGGTAGAGACCAAGAAAGCTTATCAGTAAAGCAAAACAAAGATAGTACACAAGCCAGACAGGTGTGTGTATCTGGTACAATGAGTGTTCTAGCATCACTTATTATATATTAAAAAGTAAGTTGGAGAGTTGTGCTCCCTTATGATCTTTCACATTCCATCAGTCTTGTCAGCGTTTTATCAGTTGGGCAAGTTGGTCTTCTCATTAACTTCAGGTCATTGTGACATAGATATTTTAGTGTCCTTTCAAAGTAAGGGCTCTGCTTGGTGCTCCCTTCAAGACAGGTATTCATACTTGAGATCTTGTAAAATACTTATGTGCCCAAAGGAGTTATTTTACTAAGGGTTTTTTGTTTTTGCAGTATTTTAAGATAACCTTGCTCAGTCCCCAGAGCACATTATTTGGACAAGTGGACAAAGGGAAAGCGCCTCCCTCTTTTCTCTTTTTAATAAATGCTACAGTTTGTTGGAGGAGTTTAAGGCTTAAAGCAAATAGTGCCTTTGTGCTTCTCATCAAGCTACTCACTAATACAGTGTTTATCTCTGAGTTTCTGGCTATTTCTCTTGTTTCATTTTCCTTCATCTAGCCTGCCTCACAACCTGATAAGTTGACTGGGGTGCATGCATTTTTCAACAGGATCAACACCAAGTTTAGGGTTGGGGGGATTAAGCGCAATTTTTATTTTATTTCTTTGCTAGTCTTGGGGTTTGAACTCAGGTCCTGGGCACTGTCCTTGAGCTTCTTTTGCTCAAGGCTAGCACTCTACCACTTGAGCCATAGCTCCAATTCCGGCTGAGGAATTGAACCCAGAGCTTCGTGCATGCTAGGCAAGCACTCTACCCCTAAGCCACATTCCCAGCCATTAATGCGATTTTTATGAGTATTGTTTAAAAAAAAAATGGAGCAGACGCTGGTGGCTCACCTCATACCTGTAATTCTACTCAGGCAGCTGTCAGCCCCAGCAGCAAAGTCCATAAGCCTTGCCAACAATTTACCAGCAAAAAGCCAACAGTGGAACTGTGGCTCAAGTGGTCGAACACCAGCCCTGGAGCCAAAAAAGCTCGGGGACAGCACCTAGGCCCTGAGTTCGAGGCTGGGCGCGTGTACACACGCACACACGCATAACCCTGGAGAATAGGAGAAGGAAATGCGCCCTCAGAATGGCGTTTCAGAGCCCTTCGCTCTCACCATGGCAACCAAGAGACCCGCTGGGCGCCGGAGCCCGCGGGTCTCGCGTTGTCTGGGACACGGTTGCCATGGCTACGCCGGCGCAGGCTCCGCGCGGGCTGCTCGAGGGCGGCCCCGCCCCCCGGTGCCGCAGTAACGTCTCAGCCGGCGGGTGCGGGAAGGACGCGCCGCGGCCGCGCTGCGCAGAAACAGCTGCTGCGGCCCGCGCTGTGGGCCGCCCTCTCTCGCCCTCGCCTCCCTCCGCTGCCTCCAGCCTCGCTTCTCCGACCTTCCCGCACCTCACTCTGGCCTCGCTTCCCACGAAGAAGCCACTCGCCGGCTGGCCCGGCCACCGGTGCTGCGAGCTCGGGGCCGCGTCTCCCGCCGCCTGCCAACCACCGCCCGCCCGCCCGCCGACCCCAGGAGCGTGAGCGCATCCGCCATCTCCGGCTGCGCCAACCCCACGGCCGCAGACCCGGGCTGGAGGTGCAAGATGGCGTCGGCTGCGTGACCGACCCGGCGGCCTCGAGACCCCCGCCAGCCCGGCCGAGGCCCGGAGGGCGGCCCGAGGACCCGGCGAGGCGGCGAGGCTTGCGTGCGCCCGCCCAACCTGCTTCCGCAGCCTCGGCCCCTCGGCAGCTGGGGGAAGATGGCGATGACACTGTTGGAAGACTGGTGCCGGGGCATGGATGTGAACTCCCAGCGAGCTCTGCTGGTCTGGGGGATCCCCGTGAACTGCGACGAGGCCGAGATCGAAGAGACCCTTCAGGCTGCCATGCCCCAGGTGCCCTATCGGGTTCTCGGGAGAATGTTCTGGAGGGAAGAGAATGCCAAGGCGGCCTTGTTGGAGCTCACCGGCGCCGTGGATTACTCCGCCGTCCCCCGGGAGTTGCCGGGCAAAGGCGGCATGTGGAAGGTGGTCTTTAAGCCGCCGACTAACGACGCCGAGTTCCTGGAAAGGCTACACCTCTTCCTGGCTCGCGAAGGGTGGTCCGTGCAAGATGTGGCCCGCGTGCTCGGGTTTCAGAGCCCGGCCCCGGCCCCGGGCCCAGAGATGCCGGCGGAGATGCTCAACTATATTTTGGATAATGTTATTCAGCCTCTCGTGGAGTCTGTCTGGTACAAGAAGCTGACGCTGTTCTCCGGGAGGGACGTCCCGGGCCCCGGGGAGGAGGCCTTTGATCCCTGGCTGGAGCACACGAATGAGGTCATAGAGGAGTGGCAGGTGTCGGACATAGAAAAGAGGCGGCGGTTGATGGAGAGTCTGCGGGGCCCCGCCGCTGACGTCATCCGCATCCTCAAGACCAACAACCCGGCCATCAGCACCGCCGAATGCCTGAAGGCTCTGGAGCAGGTGTTTGGGAACGTGGAGAGTTCTAGGGATGCGCAGGTCAAGTTTCTGAACACTTATCAGAACCCAGGAGAAAAGTTATCGGCCTACGTCATCCGCCTGGAGCCTCTCCTGCAGAAGGTGGTGGAGAAGGGAGCCATTGATAAAGATAGCATCAACCAGGCCCGGCTGGAGCAGGTCATTGCCGGGGCCAACCACAGTGGGGCCATCCGAAGGCAGCTGTGGCTGACGGGGGCCGCGGAAGGGCCGGCTCCCAACCTCTTCCAGTTGCTGGTGCAGATTCGCGAGGAGGAGGCCAAAGAGGAGGAGGAGGAGGCTGAGGCGGCCCTTCTGCAGTTAGGCCTGGACGGACACTTCTGAGTCCCTGGAGAGGGGCTGTATAATGGCGCCCCACCACAGCTGCTTTGCTCGTCCCTCTGCAACCTTGAAGGCCTGTCTGAGTAGTAAAGACCTAGCCTCGTTCTGTTTCTGTTGTTTATTGGGGAGGGGGGGCGGAAGGAGGGGTATGGGAGGTTGGGGAGAGGGAAGGAACGGGGAGTCAGACCGGCCTATTCATGTAACATTCGTGAAATTGTGCAAACACCATGAGCTGCTGCAACAACATAAAGAGGGTCGGGCTGACTCAGATGCCAGGGAAGAGCTGGACCCAAGTGCTTGCTGTAAGCTGTTTTTAAGACTTCGTTGGCAGTCGTGAAAACCATGAACCTGTGACGCTTCCCATCCAGGTAATTCAATGTAAAATTGCATGTTCAGATGCTTAGTCCAGGCTTGGCTCACAAGAAGTGTTTGGTAAAATTGTGAATTATTTTACTAATGTTGTGAAGTTCTCTTTACTATAAATTGCTCCTCATATTACTGAAATGTAAATTAGATATTATGCAACTTTATGATGCAAATTTCTTCTCAAGATGTGGGCCCATTTAATTAAAAAGTATTCTGAGTATAAAATGGAGTTTTTAAAAATACTGCCGTTATGGAGCTGTGTAAATTTTTCATGAGGAGGCTGATATGCACTAGTTGATCCATTCCCCTACTTCAGATCTTTTGTCATAGTTCTTGTTTAGGCTGATTCTGTGTTCTAAATTTGAGGCTATCAAATAGATGTATGCAAATAAAAGTAATTTTAAAATTTCTGTTGTCTTGTTGTTTGACAAGTATATTTCCAGTGTAAATAACTGCATCCTTTTTCTTATTAAAAAAAAAAGTTCCCCTATGTCATAAAATCTAACCTTAATTACTATGTGAGTTTAAATTGCAAATACTCTAATGTACTAAATATTTACTTTTTCTAGACAAATGTTACCTTAAACTAGACTTTTACTAAAAAGTTTTAGAAAATCGGAATACCTGACTTTTTTTCTCCTTTTAAAATCACTTTGTGGGCTGGTGGCATGGCTCAAATGGTAGAGCACTTGCATAGCAACTAGAAGGCCCAGAGTTCAACCTAGTACCATAAAAAGGTGTACTTTCCGGCTAAGAACTTGTTTCACTGAAAAACTAACTATAGCTTCTCACACCTGTGTAAAGTGATTTCTTTTTTAGTATCTATACCAAGATGTGAAAAGGGAAAGACTTTAAAATGTTTGCCTGTGAAAATATTTAGTGACTACAGATGTCTTGAAGTTCTTAGGAAAATCAAGTAATTTTCATTAAGTGATTTGGCATTTTTCCCTTAAAGTTTTAAAATTATAACTGATATAACCATATACTGTGGAATTGATAAAGGTGTTTTCCCCTTTTTCTGTTCACTCATATCTTTGCACATCTCTGTTCCTCCATTCTCACAAGTGCATATCTCACAATTCTTGTCCTTCTCCCTCAACTGCTATGCAGTTCTTCACTTCCACCACAAACATTTGCAAGACCCACTTGTCCCCTTCCCTGTCCACTCCCACCAGTGGGGAGAGTGCAGACTTCTCCTGCACACTCTGTGCAGGCGTGCACTTAGCACTCTCCATTCACGGGAGTACCATACCATTCTCCCACCCTCAACATTCATTCTACGTCTCATGTTGTATATACATATGCCCTTTGTATCGTATTCTAACCAGGCACACTCCCATACATACCCATATTCACAAAAATGGGGTCCGTTTTTAACCCAGTATGTTATGGGTATCCACTGTACAAAATATATGGGTTTTTGACTGGTATTTTGGAGGACAGGCTTCTGTGGCCCAGGCTGGCCTCAAACTCCTGATCCTTCTGCTTCAGTCTCCCAAGTGCTAGGATTGCAAGTATGGGCCACTAGACCTAGCCTTTATCTTTTCATCACTGCAGAATTGATTACATCATAGGAAAAAAGGTCTTTCTTTTAGTATTATATCTCACATACTTCTAATGCAATACGCAGATGTACATGTCAGGATTCCCAGAAACTCATCCTTTTGTAACAAACTCAGGCTGGCCTAGACATTATATAGCCAGACTGACCTCAAACCCTCCTTAGTCTTCCAAGATGCCCACTTTGTCCTAGAAAACAATGAACTATGATTTTTCAAGGCTTTCTCTTTATAGGCTCAGAAATCAAAATATATTTTTTAAGTCAGACGCTGGTGGCTCATACCTGTAATCCTAGCTACTCAGGAGACTGAGATTTGAGAATCTCAGTTTTTTACCAGCTCAGACAGAAAAGTCTGTGAGACTATTTTTTTGGGGGGGAGAGGGGGGGGTCAGTCGTGGGGCTTGAACTCTGGGCCTGGGTGCTGTCCCTCAGCACTTCAACTCAAGGCAAGCACTCTACCACTTGAGCCACAGCTCCACTTCTGATTTTCTAGTGGTTTATTGGAGATGAGTCTCATGGACTTTCCTGCCCTGGCTGACTTTGAACCGCGATCCTCAGTAGGTAGGACTACAGGCATGAGCCACTGGCATCCAGCGGGTGAGACTTATCTCCAATTAAACACCAGAAAATGAGATGTGGAGCTGTGGCTCTAGCGTTGAGCAGAAAAGCTCAAGGACAGTGCGCAGGCCCTGAGTTCAAGCACCACAATAACAAAAAAAAAAAAAAATGTATCCTTATACTTGGAATAAGTAGAATCTGCACTATAGTGCTTGTCCAAAATTATATTTTATCTGCTAGCACAAAATGTACACTTGTAAAATGTCTAATGTTACTGATACTGTGGTGGTGGTGGTCTTGAAGGCTTGCCAGCTAACCTTTATCTTATGTATGTTTGTAAGTAAAGCAAGGACTAAGAATGGCAAGTTCAGTAATACTGTCCCTGGAAGATTTCCAGGGGTTAAATAATGCTGGAAGGTTTATAATTCCAAAAATAAATGTTATCTCTGATAGTAAACTACTGAAAAAGCATAAAGAATTGTCTCCTCCTGTCCCTTCAACTTCCTCTCCCTCCCTGCCATTGCCTCTTTCTCCCTGCTCCTCTCCTTACTCCCACAGCTGCATGGACTATGTTACCTAAAAGGCTAGATTTCTTCACAACTGAATATAATTTGAAGTTCATGTAGATAGTCTCTACTAGTTCATTTAACCAAACAGGACACATTTTTTTTATAAAATAACACAATTTATTATTTTAAAACAAGTCACAAAATAACCTTCAGAAACAATATTTCTAAATAATTTAACACAATAAGTTTAGTCAAAGTCATGCTACAAAATTCTGGTGTATAAAAGATTATTACCAAAATATTAATAGATGGTAAAATGTTTTTCAGAATGGAATTGCTTCTAGAAGCCAAAGATTGTGGAATGACTCTCATGATCATAGCTGATAACCTGGGAGAAGTAGCTAGATATAAGTCTATTCTCCTTAGCTTCCAACTCATCAGACTTTTGATGGAAGTGACCCCTCCAGGCAACAGCACCTCAGAGCAGGTACCCCCTACTTAACTGATCAAAGAAGCAAAGAGCTTCCTAGCATGTAAGTTAGCCAAAACTTACATTTAGTCAGCATCAAAATTAACTTTGAGGATTCAGATGTGGGAAAGCCAAAGTTTCTATTCTAAGTAAGAAAATGACTTGATATCCCCCAGACAGGCAACTGGATGTAGTAGACAGGGAGATGACCCAAGTAGGGAAGCTGGAAAGTCCTGACTCTAATTATGCCCACAGACAGCAACTCTAGAGTGGGGCTTAGGAAGAACAAGGGTGGTTCCCTAACATCTCCATACTGGTGAAGTGTTTATCTGCCCTTTGCAAGTACTTTCAACAGCCAGGTTATAATTTTAAAGTGCAAATCTATGGAAAAATAGTTAACTCTCCCATACCCCTTTTTCAATTTGCTAGACCATAATTGGGTGGTTTGGTTCCCCTCTAACTTGCCCAATATGAGAAATTAGCTAAAGCCCAATTATGATTTCTCCACGTATTGAGAAATGTTATTCATTCATCTTACATCCAAAGATAAGACTTAGTCTAGTTTTTCTTTGTTTTCTTCCTTTGCAGTTACCAATGAATAAAAAATGGAGAAATATATACATATAGTATTTCTACAAGCTTAATGCTTTTTTAAAATGTAACTTCATTTAAAATTTTTCATCTATTTTATAGTTCACTAAAAAGAAAACAGTATTCCATACTTGAGAAAAGATAAAGGAACATGATCAAGTTAGCCATGTCAGAAGCACCAACTCTTGCTACACTGACTCGTTTCATTATTTATAATCTTGTTTCATTATCCCACATACTAAAAAATGAATATCTAAGGAATAGATTTCTGGTAAAGAGTAATTTGCTGTTTAACAGTTCTCTTTTTCAATAATTTACAACATTAGTCTTAGCAAACAGTCTACTGCAAAGGCAACAATCACTCATGACCGATGCTTTGACACTTCCCCTAATTTTTTTGAAATAAATTATTCAAATCCAACTTTTGTAGAAAAGTCAGCCGCTTTCCTATTTAGAAGATGCAATTCCTTAAACATTGCCAACTCTGAGAATAAGTCAACAGTAAAGATTAGTTCTCATCCACTGGCACCTATTCACACAGAAATGACCAGGCAGGACCACATCAAAGTGTCCTACCCACCTGAATCTGTGCAGCCGTCCAGTAAGCTTCCCAAGTTACGGACCAGCTAGAAGTAGGCATTCTTTTCACGACACTCAAACTTTCAAACATACTAAACTGTATGCAATATCTTTCTGTGTATAACATCTGCAATAAGTTGTTCATTATTAAGCAAGGAATAATGATCTATTTTTAAAATAAAACCAAGTCAGCACAATTTATCATAAAGTTGGATTCTGTTGATAATAACAGAGAGGTAGGTTAATAAACATGGTCCTAAGACAAGCAAGGATACTAAGAAATAAAATCTGAGAAACGATAAGTTGAACCTTCCGGCCCTGAGTTTTTAGTTCTATGGGAAATTTATATTGAACATTACAGAAAAGGGATATCTCACTGGCCCTTCTCTTCCTTCCATAACGATGAAACACACTGCTTTCTTCACACTCTAGTGGCCTACGGCTACAAACTGAAAATAAATGGACCCTGGACAAAAGGACTGTTGGAGCAGAAAGCACTGGTGCTCCAGGAAGAATTTCTTCCCACACACCTTGTCCCAGCAGGCAGGTGGCAAGGTCTGGAGACATCACAACTGTGGAGGAGGAAGAGGTGCTACTCACCTGGAGTAGAAGCTAAAGATGGTGCTAAATATCTTCCAGTACACAGCACTGCCTCCTCCATACAATGAATCATGCACCCCAAAGTAATTAGTGCCAGAGTTGAGAACCTCTGGCTTAAAGGAACAAACTCCTATGAACTGAGAAGATAAAACCTTTCAAGGCCTGCCTACATAGGCCATAAAATCTGAATTATGGGACATTGCAAAGTTAAGTTCCTTGGTAGACAAAATCAAGTTTGCTGTGAAACATCAAACACCAGAGCGATTCCCGAGCTGTACATGATTAGAAATTCAAATGATCCATGAGTATAGATAGGAGCACACACAGCGTCCACTCCTGCTCTGTCAAACATCATAGCTCAGACGCATAAACCAAAGACATTTTTTATATCAACAGGATTTTCAGTGGTAAAGGATGATTTCTAGTACAATTTAGGAGAGTATCCTGAACTTTGTCTTGTACCCAACCTTCCATTTTTTAATTGCATGGATTCTGGCATTAAATCCATGGGCAGGGATGCATAGAAGTCACTCAAATATTTGT